CCTCGGAAGGAAGGTTGGGCAATCCTACTTCCGTAGTGATACTGCCTCGGAAACCCAAGGAGGGGTCGCTATGAGTCAGGTTTGAATCGACGGCACATAACAACAACAACAAATTGTGAGATGACTGAAAATTTACACAGTAAATTGGTTTTCCATTCATACTTTCATACACATTTTGTTTCATGACATTGAACGCAGTCCTCACAATGCAACAGTGCTCTTCCCACTGACTCCCTGTGCTTACCATGTCTGTTTGCCTTTCTTTCCTATCCATTCCTGCCTTGATTCCATCCGAACAGCTTTCAAGTATTTGAAGGGAGTTCAGATTCCATCCTAAAAGCTTTCAAGTACTTGAAGGCAGTTCAGTCCTTTTCTTTTGAGTCTTCTCTGGGCTAAACGTTCTTTGTTACTTAATTGCTTTCAAGTGCCAAACACAGTGCCTGGATCATTGTAGATGCTCAAGAAATATTTGTTAGATAAATGTTAACGATATTTTTTTTCTGCTGAATATTACATTTTGTTAATATATGTCTTAAAGTATTTGGTCCAGAACTAAACTCAGTGGACCTGCTCTCTCTTTTTGTCAATGTCTTGCTTGTGTTAAGGCAGATTAGGATTTCAGGATGCAGGCTTAGGTGGGGGACACTTACTCATGTGATGCTTTGATTTCCTCATGAGAGCTACTGACAGAACGTCATCAAGGAACCCTGAATCATTGGACATTCCACGGGCAGATTATGTCTAACTGATCCATCAGCATTCTCAGGGATCATCTCACTTACTGAGGGCTGAGACTCAGTGGGTCTATGGAGAGCACATTACTCCCTTTGTTCTGATCTCCTTGGAAACAACACAGGAATCAAAGGAAGTCATTTTTGAAAAGTTGTTTCAAGAGATAGAGGATTAGACAACTTAAACAATGCCTTCTCAATTCACAGTAGAAACAGTCTAATTGTACCACTCAAAATTACTGAGACCATGTAGTTAGCCCTCAGTTGTTGATTCTGCCACAACACATAACAAAATTAAATGTATTTCTTAAATAATAAATATTATCTCTTTGAAGAAAAATTGGTAGAATGCTTTATACAACTCTGCATATATAATTTTGTATTCCTTTCCCATTTATTATTTGTATCTGTTTAGGAATAGTTTTGACTTGTGTAACAGGAAAAAGGCAACTCAGTGAGTTAGAAATATGGAAGTGCAGAGATATAAAAAGTTTCCATAATATTATCAGAAATATGGACTCTATTCTCTTCAGCATGTAGCTTCAACTTCATAACCCCAAAGGGCTGCCAGTGCTCTATACTAGCCCCGTTGGGTAGAATTTTATGAAACGGAGATATTCAAATTTCTGTGCAGTACAATATGGTAGTGACTAACTGTGCATTGTGCATTTGGTCATGTGGCTAACATGACCAAAGACGTGAATTTAAATTTTATTTTATTTCCAGAAACTTAAATTTAGCCACTCATGTGTGGCTAGCAGATGTCATATTGGACAACAGAGCTCTAGGATTTCACGTATATTCTAAGAGACAGCAAGTGGGGAGCTGAGGTAAACTGATCACTCATTCTTCTAAGGAAGTTTCCCAAAAGTGCAACACTGCACTACTGTTGTCATTTTATTGGATTGAATTTATCTCATGGTCATCTTGTTCCTTAAAGGAAAATCAAGATCACAAATCAAAACAAAGAAACAAAAAGACCAAGCTTGTTGTAAGTACAGTTTGTCATAACTTAAATATGTAGTAACTGGGGGCTACCAGCATACATAAATAGCATGTTAGAACGGAAAGATACAATGGACATATTCTAGCCATAACTAGAATAACTCTGTCATTTTTTTTTTTTTTTCAAATTGTGATTTGGGTGAAAGTTTACAGAGAACATTGGTTTTCCATTCAACAATCCATACACATTGTGTTTTGTGACGTCTTTTGCAATCCCCACGTTGTAACAGTGCTCTTCCCCCTCCTTCCTGTGACCACTCCTCTTAGTTCTTCCTTTCCGTCCCCTCCCACCTCCTTTCTGTCCCCTCCCACCTTTCTAGCTGGGCAAATTCTTGATTGTTCTAATGAATGAGTACTATCCTGATATTACTATTCATCCCTATATTACTACTGTCTATTATTTGGCTGCCAGCTGAGTCATGGGGGTTAAGTTCAGTTCTTAACTTGAAGGGTTTCAAGGGCCATAGTTGTGGGGGCTCCACCATCTTCATCATACCAGTAAGCCTGTTTATTTTTTTATGGTTTTGAATTTTGTCCCACATTTCCTCCCACTCGATCCAGGACCTTTTATTGTGATCCCTTTCACAATAAGGGCAGTCAGCAGTGACAGCCAGTCACCATCTAGTTCTTCTGGTCTCAGGGTCATGGAGGCTGGGGTTCAGGAGCTCCATTAGTCTTTTGGACTAATTCCTCCTGCATCTTTGATTTTCTTCACTCTTCTTTGCTCTGGAGTGGGAGAGAAAGCAACTTGCACCTTAAGTGGAGACTCACAAGCTTTTAAGACCTCAGTTGCTACTCACCAAAATAGGATGTATAACATTGTTTTTGTGGACCATCGTATGCCCATTAACCTTATATATATACTCTGTCAAACCTGTGTTGTTGTTATGTGCCATCGAACCTATATATATATATATATATATATATATATATATTTGTGGATGTAGTTCTATTCATCTTCCCACTCCTGTTCATTTGAGTATATACCAACTCTGTCAGTTTTACAGACGTGGTAATAGGAGAGAGTAAGCAGCAGGGAGGTGAAATGACATGGTTAAAGTCAGATCGGTAATCAATTACTGAACCAGAAGTAGTGCCCAGGTGTCATGGTTGCCTGTCCAGTCCTTTTCTCCTCTATTCACTTTCTTTTTCATTTTCAAATCTGACAAACGTTCCCTTCATGTTTTACCTTCAACTCTCTTCTTTTACTACCTCATCACTGAGTGCAAAAACTTTCCAGAAATCTCACTAAGCTAATTGGAACAGATTTTGGATCTCTCCCCAGGTCATATTTGGCAAAGGTTTACCCTAGAGAAAGAATTCTTTGGGAAATTGGTCCCTTGATTATAGTGTTTGGATTAATTTATTATATATAGCTCAAAATCTCAGATTTTAATCACAAATGGTGGACTTTTAGTGAGTGGGTAGGTTTTTTACAGAACAAGATCTTAAAAGTTTTGGGTCCCTCCTGT